TCTCTGACCTGCTGCCTTTTCATACGTACTCATCAAATATTACTTCTTTTTTATTGTGTGACGTTGAAACCATTCATCCGGTCTCCTTATTTCTCATTGTCCTATGATATGAATAAACCTGTGTATACATGAGTTTTTTTCGACTATAATATTTGGTGCTTAAAAGTTTTAGCTTTTTTGTGAGACTTTCTTAGGTATTTTAGTAAAATGACGCGGAAATGTGAATATTTGTGAGCCTGCTCAATAGACTTGAGTGCACCACTTTATAATGAGTAGTCTAATGTCTGCGTTAAGGTTCATCGGGTATGAATGACAATTTAGAAAGCAAGGTCTGTAAGATCATGAAATTTTGAAGGTTAAAAAATGAGTGAAGGGTCCCATCTTAACACAATAACCTTTCTGAAAGCATTGGATTATGTATCATTCTCTAGTTAATGGGCACTACTTTCCCGATTTGGTCTACGTCAATCAGGCTGTTGCGATTGTTAGTCTACTTAAAATGCCAGCCTCAACGAGTCAAACGCTTTGACTTAACAAATTTGTATATCAGCGTGGAGTATGAAAATGCTTCAGTTATTTGTACCGAGAAAACAGTATCACATGATGATCCAATGGAATATTTACAGAAACACCAGCGAATGTATATAGAAGGTCGACAGAACATCGGAGAATTTTCATCGCTACCTTAATTTTTGTCCATTTGGTCGAAAGTGTCACTTTCATTTATTCATTAAAAACAATTTCAGCAGTGTTAAGCATGGCATGACTGCTGATTGGCTGAGAGGGCTCTGCACCTGTGACCTCATTTGCTTCCTAGTGTGATCAACATCACTATCGCACGTTCCAGAATGCTCGAGCGCTCATGAGCCTTATTGCTTCAGCCATGCTAACGTTGTGTTCCCCACGGCAGTAGATTTACGGAACAGGAAAACACCAGTTTTACGAGTGCATCAGCAGCAAAATTGAGGAAATTGTGGCGGATAGCTACTTTATTAAAGCCTGACTGACTCAGAAATCTCTATGGCAGATCCTCCTACATCTAACTAGACTCCCAGAACCAGCTAAGCTATAGCCCAGCTATGAAAGGAAACAGACGTGTAGCACGGAGCACGCTTATTCAGTACGGGTATTACGGATAAAGCGTACACGCATGGAGCTACTCATGATCAGGATGGGGGATTAGGTTAAACAGAGGTTGATGATTGGTCACTGTTTGTAGGGTCGCTGCACATAGAGTTGTACGGCCGCACCCCCCAATCCTGGCGAGCAGACATGCAGGTATACGATGACGCACAACGCGATAACGTGTCCCACAAAATCAAATGATGAAGAAATAATTATAGATAATAATTACGGCTACTGTGTTTTGGAGTTTTTCACGGTCTTTATTTCGTATACTACATACAACAACGAGATTATATTTTCAAGAACGGCTCAACGCGGAGTCGGGTTCAAAATTGCATTACAATGCAGTTTCAATAGTCTACGCTACATTCCATCATCTCCATTCGTTGACAAATCGTTCGAAGTTTATCATCAGAAGAGTTATTGATTCGATGTTAGGGTTGAGAGACTCAAAATATTAATGAGTCTCTAAACTCGCTGATATGGACTTTCGCTCCAAAGCATATCCATTCCGGGTCTGTATGGACTTTCGCTCCAAAGCATATCCATTCCGGGTCTCATATCATTGAAATTGTTGTGTCTATTTTTAATGAAGGCTTTATACCGATATTGAAGGTGATGACGATTATGGGAGTGAAAGTTGGTCCAGAAGCGCATGCATCAGACGAGACAACGCCCGGGTTGACCGCTCCGAGATACGAGCATCCAGCGCATCAAAGGGGGCCAGAACTGCTCGAGTAGAAAACAGAAACGCCGAAAATAGTTTTTTCGAAGTCGAGGAAGGTCCGATGTATGCAGCAAGAATGGCAAATTGAATAAATGCAAGTTAAAATTATAATTTTATGACTAAGACTGCAAAAAATTTTACTTGAAAATTTAAACGCGTTTTTCTCAGATTCTGCCGAACCGATTTACTTGAAATTTTAAGAGAGTCTTCTTTAGGGACTTGTCTATGTCAGGAACTACGGCCATCCCTAACTTCTCATTTTTACTATTTTTAAAACTCGAAGAATGTTCATAAAAGTAGTACAAAATTTTTTTCTTTAGACAGTCGCCATTTTGTAAAAAAATATTTCTATAACTTTTCCATAGTTCCAGACATAGCGATATTATTGTAGATTGATAATCTTTTTTATTATTTGATTTCAGATTACTTGGAGAGTTAAAATCGTGGGTATGGTCACGCACCATATTTTTGAGACGTCCCACTCCACCATCTGATACTAACGGAATTTTGAATTTTTTACTTTTTAATTTTTTTGTATGCTTCTAATATGAATAAATAATGTATAAAAATGATGATAAAAATATTGAATGCTTTTTTACAGCACTTCAAAAATGACCTAAAATTCAAGTCTCTAGACCAGAATACCCCCTTAAATGAACTCCTCTCAGTCTCTGTTATGGGGAAGACTAAACGTGTTCTACTCTCTATCTTGGGTATGTAGCGGATTGCTACCTTAGTATAGCCTGACCGACTCAGAAATCTCTATGGCAGATTCTCCTACATCTAGCTAGACTCCCAGAACCAGCTAAGTCATAGCCCAGCTATAAAGGAAAACAGACGTGTAGCACGGAGCACGTTTATTCAGTACGGGTATTACGGATAAAGCGTACACGCAGGGAGCTACTCATGATCAGGATGGGGGCTTAGGTTAAACAAACGGAGGCTACTGATTGGCCACTGTTTGTACGGTCGCTGCACACAGAGTTGTACGGCCGCACCTCCCAATCCTGGTGTGCGGGCATGCGATGACGCACAAAGCGATAACGTGTCCCACAGGTATTGAAACAATATTATTTATATCAAATGGCAGGCGTTTTGATAGGTATCATTAGCCCTTTAGTTGACTATGGGCTACATAGAGGGGAGGAGGAACATCAAAGTGAAAAAAGTCGATAGGGAGTAACGGAAGAGTGGTTTAAAGATGTAAAAGAGACAGACACGAAGGTAGAGAAAAAGGTAAAATGAGTACTGTGAAAGTGGTCGAAAATGACATACAGTGGGGTCATGGTAGTTTGAAGTCAGAAGTCGACTGCCGAATAATAGACTTTTTTGCCGTTTGAGTATACGTTGCCCAGGATGCACCACGTGGAGGCAAGTCTATCGCACACCCCGTATTGACATAATATGCCCGCTTGATTGTAAATATATCCCAACATTAATATTTGTGAACATGGGCCTATCAAGCCTTGGAGAGAATAAATAGATCTAGTTCAAGCCATGAGACTTAAATTCGGCATAAAATATGTACTGTTATTACTGCGACTTTCACCTTTGAGGAGGAAGGCGACAATTTACAGACGCACTGGAAGCCCATTTTGATGGTTGCACCTGAAGAATAATTTCGTCGATAATGTTAAAGGGATTGGGTTCTTGCTCGCCAAAACTTGCACTTTCAAATTTGATGGGCTTAACTCAAATCCCTTTGATGTGGAGATTCTAGCTTCCAGGAAAGAGAGAATCTGAGTTATTGACTATGTAAGTCATGATAGCGTTGTCAGCCAGTCTCATCTGGCATCCCAATGACTTCGAATTAGCTATGATCTTGAATAGGATTTCTATCTAGTTGTCTTTGTTGTCAAATGACTCAAAAGAAGCTTGGGATAGTTAACTAGGAGGCTTTCATGATAGCCCAAATGCAAAACAATCTTCATTGGGGATTGGCCCATGAAATTCCCAGTGGAATTCACCAAAGTAGAGGAAATTAACATATCAAAAATTTCAATCGCGCCAAAGAACTGCTTTACATACTTAAACTAGTACTTAGAACACGTTCACGCATAAGCACAACAAAATAAACCATCTCCATCACTAGTTCGGCAATAAGAGAAAAATTGTAGAGAACATCCAATATTATTTGTATTATTTAAATCATGTACATTTAATAATTATACACTTTACATATAGAAAGAGGGGGTTATTTTTTGGGACTCTTCTTTTGGTCCGCAAGCCATTTGTCATAGTAGAGCCGAATTTGCTTCTGGAGAGCTTTGTCCTTTTGAATGACCCTCCAACGATCTTTCAGGTCCACATTTGTGCGTCGAGAGGAGGCAAATACTTTGTCCCTGATCTTTGCCCATGAAGGAGGGTTGGGCAAGGCTTCTTGAACCTCGTGCCAAAGGGCAAGAGTTTCTGAAAGGGTCCACGGTATTCTACGACGATGCATGGTCGTCTCTGGGTCCTCGGAAAGGGGTATATTAACATTTCGGAGATTTTTAAAATCTATATTAGCTTTTCGTACAGGCTCAGCTACATGTGAAAATCAAACAACACATATTAGAAACTCAAACATACTTCTAGACCATAGATTCCAGGCACAAAATTAGCCAACAATCCATGCTAATTATTTTGGAATTTAATAATTACCTGGAGGAGTTGAAACATTAACCGACGAATCGCCATCTTCAAGAAAATTGCGTATTGATTGAGGCAAAAGAGTTTTAGCTTGCGCCGATTTTTCCGGAGTCGATTGAGGGCAAACACCAAGGCTAGATGCTTCATCTGTAACAAAGACAAGCTAGATGAACTTAAATTGGGTCAGGTTTTAAAAAAATAATAGATCAAGTAAGGGACAGTAAATACTGCGCTGAGGATGTTATTTACCGGTTTGGACGCCGACGGAAGAAACAGAAATGAAACCATTTTCAAGGCATTCAAATGAGGAAAGCGAATTAACCCATGACGAAATTAAACCGCTATCTCTTAAAATTGACTCCTGTTCTTTCCGCCTCTATAAGGAATAATAAATTACCACCCAGTAGAGACTGATAAATTTTTCAAAAATATATCAACTTTATAATCGGCCTTGATGGCATCAAGACGAGACTTAAAAGCATCTTCATCAAACCAGGTAGAGGGATGTGTGTCTACAAGATTGTTACAAAATTAAACTAAAAATATACCTGGATTCTTGTTAGTGGCAAATTCTTGAAGCTGAGTATACAATAAGTGAAAAGGAATATTCCCATTAAATTTTACATCTTCCGATGAAGGTTTGTCTAACGGCATATAGATGTAGAATATTTTGACAACTGAAGATAAGATTTTTGGAATAAATTTGGACCACTCGTCCATTCTCCTTTTACTTTTCTAAAACAAAAGTAAAAAGAGTAAGGGAGGTTAACTTACCATGCAATTAATGGCTAATTTAACGGAATTAACCAAAGCCTCGGAACGCGGTCCACTTATAAAACCAGCTTGATCATCCAGCCTCGATAACAGCTCCCTGCACTTATCCGATATTCTCGACATGTCATTGACTGGAGCACGATTTTTCTTCAGGAGTTGATAGGACTTTATCATTATTGAAAGGGCATGTGATTCTATATGCATTAGGATTGCGGCCAATGTGAATGCCTGAGAATTAGTTAATTTACTAAAATCTACAGCTTCGAGTAAAACTAATGGCATAATATCAAATAACAAAAATACTTTTGAAATGTTTTGTATTTGGATTTTCTTTATCCAATATGTTTGAAATAAAGAAGGATGTTACAGCATCCATCCAAAGAAGAAAACTTAGATATGCCCGAAGCCAAACGAAATTTAAGAATTCGCCAGAGTTATCAAATTAAAACTATGACCTATTTACAAATTTAAAGTAGCTTCCAAAACTTTGATAAGTTTTTGTTGTTCTATAATTCATTGGTTTCTATTTGATAATAGATTTAGAACTAAGTCAAGTTTTTGCTTAATTTAACTTAAATCCCTAATTATTTAATAATAAACATGATGCACTTTAAAATGAATGAAAATCACATAATATTGTTGTGGATATTTTGATTTCTTACTTTTTGGCGTTTTTGAGCGTAAGTCGCGAAAAATCGGATTTTGAATGCTGATTCGAAATTGTTTTCTCATGAATGTCATACGCTATTGACCAAAATATCATCGAAATTGCTACCTGTCTCAAACACCAAGACATTGTTCCACAAAATATATTCTCTTGGAGATATAGTTGTGTGTTTTAAAGCCGCTTCATTAATTTCATGCAGCAGTTAATTTAGGGATTCACTAACCGAAGAGTTACAAATTTATCCAGAACTATATATACTTTCAACTAATTTAGATCGCTAAAATAACTACTAGAGAATGAATAATCAAATATTAAATGACACGATGTGAACTTAGTTAGACTATTGTAAGCAAAAGTAAATCCTTCTTTTAAAGCAGGTTTTACCTTTCGAAGCTATTGAAACGAAATTTGTATTTAACTTAAGCTGTAATAATTACCGGATTAATAGGCACCAGTGATCTCCAGATTATATAGCTACTTCTAAATTTTCGAAATAATCTCCTGCTTGGTTACTCATACGGCAAAACAAGTTGGGGGAGTGCAATAGACTTACCTCCACGTGGTGCACCCTGGGTAACGTATACTCATACGGCAAAAAATCTATTAACCCAGAGTTGACTTTTGACTTTAAACTACCATGTCCCAACTGTATGTCATATTCCACCACTTCCGCAGTGCTCACCTTACCTTTTCTGTGAGTTTGTGCTCCTCTGTCTCTTTACATATGTGAATCACTTTTCTGGTCTCCCTCTCCACTTCATCCCATTTTGATGTTCCTCCTCCTCGCTGTGAAGCCCGAAGTCAGCTAAAGGGCTAAGGATAACTATCATAAAGATGTCATTTGTAATAAATAATTCTCCTGATTGAAATATTATTACTCAACTTTTATGCCTTTGAATATCTATTTGACCACTTTTGTATTCACATAATAAAATTTTTATATAGTATTTCCTTTTCAGGTTGAATGAATTTTAAATTTAGTAAATCATGTTTATTTGTTTATGAAAAAGATGTTTGTTATGCTAAAGCATTCAGATATTTGGCTTTGGCATTTCTTGCGAAATTATTTATTTACTTCCTCTAATGAGTTTATTTTTGCAAAAGGAGTGAGCTTTTTAACTAGGAGACTTCAGTGGCCAAGATCCATAGATAGCTCTAAATGCGACCTAACTAATTTCAATCAGCATCGACTAACCAAATGACATATAAATGTTAGATAAAGCAAGTCTTTCAATAATATTATGGTAAGTATCCAACAGTATGGTTAAGTACACATAATATAGAAACTAAAAATATCAAGAGATTCAACAATAGCAGTATAGTTATTTAATTACGTTTTAAACAGCTTTAAAAATAAAGCTAAAATTACCTGATATAGCGAATACATTCTCATTTCCGGTCTTTTTTCATAATATCTATCCTAAAATCAATGGTAAGATTGAAATTTAAAGAACTACGTGGCGAGATCTGGATCATCGATATCCTCCGCTACAATTTCGAAAATTAGAAAAATTTAGAATACATCCGATCACTGAAAGACGAACTTCTACTACCTTCACTACTACTGTAGTGGATTGCTACCTTAGTAAAGCCTGACTGACTCAGAAATCTCTATGGCAAATTCTCCAAAATCTAGCTAGATTCCCAGAACCAGCTAAGCTATAGCCCAGCTATAAGGGAAACAGACGTGTAGCATGGAATACGTTTATTCAGTACGAGTATTACGGATAAAGCGTACACGCATGGAGCTACTCATGATCAGGATGGGGGATTAGGTTAAACAGAGGTTGATGATGGTCACTGTTTGTAGGGTCGCTGCACACAGAGTTGTACGGCCGCACCCCGCAATCCTGGCGAGCAGACATGCAGGCATACGATGACGCACACAGCGATAACGTGACCCACATTACTGCTGCTTGAACTAATACTACGGCGCCTATTTGCTCGCTGATTCTTCTTAGTCCTCCCCATAGTAGAAAGTATTAATTTTCCAAGGTCATAATATACAAACTATAACTCTCTTATTTAAAGATTTGTCTGAATTACTTCATTTCTAATATCTTCACAAAATAACCAAGTCCTTATAATCAATGCTGAACTATTCATTGTTTAACCGTTAAATTAGCAAAGAAATGCTTTTACTATTATTCAGTTTACATGTACAGTGTTTTTGAAAGATGTTAAAAATTACATTTTATAAAATGGAGTGCGCGATAGACTTACCTCCACGTGGTGCGCCCTGGACAACGTATTTTCTTACGGCAAAAAGTCTATCACTCGGGATTTTGACTTCTATTTATTATGACTAGCTTTAAAAAAGGCTATAAGAAAAAT